ATGTCGTTGAAATTGACCCCTCATTCAAATTTTTTAAACTACTTAAATTATTTTTGAGAACCAATTTTGTTTAAATTGAAATTTAAATTTAAAAAAACAATACCCCTCCTCGAATGTCCATCTTAAAAGGAGAAAAGACTAAAATTTACTTTTAATAAATGTCTTAAAATAAGGATATCTGTATTAGGTCCATGAAATACATCAAAATAGAATATATTTTTAGAAAAATTCGGGTGGTTGTTTCTAAATTAGATTCTTTCTTACTTTTTGTAGGCTCTTCAGATTGAACTTGTGATACTATTTTGCAATTATGTATTTTGTTGTACGCAACCAGTGAGTTATGAAATACCTTGATTAGTCAAGTTAATTTGTACATTAGGTAACAATCAAAATATCAATTTTCCTACTACTAACTGGTTAAATTGAAATTTTTTACCAATAATCAGTATTATGTATGTGGCTAATCGAGACGCTGGAGTAAAAATTTTAATATAATCAAAAATATCTGATTAATAAATGACCATTAATTGATTTTTCTACATAAAAGCTTGTTTTGAACAAATGGTAGGAACAAATTTTTTGGTGGAATGTGCGAAATAAATGCTGTCAGACCAAAGTATGTATTTATTGACCAATTAAATCTAAAGCAATGGCAGGTACTACACTGATTGAAGAATTGTTTCATTATTGAAATTAGATAAAACAAGAAAAGAAAATAGAAAGCATTTAAATTGTTTTGGTATTCTGTTGTAAAACTAAAATGTCTTTGGATATCAGATATTGATGATTGTTTGAAAATAAAACTAAAATTTGTCAAAAATAATCACTGACATTCAAATCTTATATGAAAAAGAAATTAACTGAAGTAAAGAAAGAAAATTTTGCAATTTGAACCTATTCAAGAATTGAGCCATGAGGGAAGATCTGTGAATGACATCATGAATGAATAGTTTGAAAATTATGAACCATAATATCAAACAGATTTTGAAACAATTTAAGCAAGATATTGTGCATTAAAGCTTTGTACCACACCACTGTCTCCTCCACCGAAAAAAATGAATTATTGTTCCATATGACACAGCAAGGATTGTGAAACTCATTATTTTGAGATGTGCTGATAATTTAACAACTGTATATGACCTCTGGATGATATTGATTATTAATTGATGAAAAACACAACACAAGATCGTTTTATAAATTTACATTTTATTAAAAAAAGTAAATGTACATTTTGTTAACATTTTTTTTTTTTTTTATAAATCTGGCATTTTATGTGCTTATATCTAAATTATATAAAATTTCTCTCCCAAAGACAAGTCTCCTTTTTTTTTTTTTTCTTTTGCACCTTTTTTTACCGACTACAAATGACCTTTCAGTACTCGAGGACCTTTTCCCCGAAAGATTGTCCAAAATTTCATTTTCACAGAAAAGGTTAAGAATATCGTCCAAACTTTCAACAAATGAAGTTATCAGTAGAAGGTAAGCAGAGACAAATGCCCACTGTTGGGACATGTGTCTGTGACCCAACCAATCGAGTTTTTTTATATGAAATGAACTTTGGACAGTTTTTCCAAATTGTCAATCCAATAAAATTGACCAAAATGTCAAAATTTAAAAAAATCCATTGATGGGATAGGACCTGTTCAACAACCACCGACAACCTTAATGATACTGATCTAATGATTGCAATCGAGTCAGATATTTATCTTCGGTCGTATAAGAAGATGTTTTTATTCTGGCTCCGTGGTTAACTAATTTAGTTAGCCACGTAAAATAAGTTACCTTTTATAATTCGACTTAGTATCAATTATTTACCTTATAGAGTTAATATTTACTTAACTTTTAATAGCTATATTATTGGTTTTATTTATGGATGGAAGAAGGGAGGTGAGTTTCACATCGAAAGACTTTGAGAAAATTTTTTATTAGCTTCAATGTAGAATTCCGTAGCTGAGATTTGTTTTAAATCAGACCTGACATTGAGGAGAAGATTTTAGTAGCTTCATTAGAATTTGAAACTAAAAGAAGTAATTTTGCTTTGGAAGGGGAAAAAAAAATGCTTTTATTGACTCGGAGAATCAATGTTTTTTTTGTTTGGCAGCGTCGTCCGATGGGGGATTCCTGCCCTTATTCATGTTCTTTACTTTTAAAAGCTAAAATAAAAATTTTAAAGGATATTATCTATTCTTCATAGAATAAGAATATTTTAAGATTCTAGACTGTTAGGTTTTTGTGTTTTATAATTTGTACGTTCAGAATCCTGATGCATGAAAAAATAGTTTCAAAAAGAAGAAAAAAAATATTTGAAAAAATACATAAAAGAACCTTTAAAAATTGAATTGACTGTTCAAAGATTTTATAACAAGATTTGTTTATTGTAAAGAAAAATTTGAAAGGAAAAAAAAAGTGGAGGGTCGGTGGGAGATGTTTGAGTTGTCTCGACATCATTTTGTAAGTAAAAAAATCCTTTTTGTTTGTTACCCACTTGGCATATAGGAACAATATGCATGTAATTTTTCATTTGTTAAAAAAATATTTATCTGTGAACAGTATATATGTTGTTTTTATCTAATAAATTTTAAGATCGTCTGCTTCATCGAGTAGTTTTGTTGTTGGATTTCTTATGAAGAAGCCGAGAACGAAATCGGCAGTTTATTCTGTGTTTAATATATTTAATTATAAATATATTAATTTAAGTTCGTATACAATGAAAATAAATTTAATTGAGAATTTAATTTCTTTTAGATTTGAGTTTTTAACATCACCCAAAAAATACACACAAGACTAAGAGAATATTTTTTCTTTAGCATGTTTATGGTGAATAATCATTCCCAACTGAAATCGGCCTATGAAACTGCAATTTTTAAAGATTTTTTCAACTGTGCATAATACGCACTACTAATTTTGCTTATATTTTTAAAAAATTCGTATTGTACATGGGGAAATTTGAATAAATTGATTTGTTTGGAAAAACCGTAAAGCCGACAAAAACCCTCACCTTGAAGTTATATATTTCTCTAATTTTTAGGACTTCATGGTAAAATAGATTTTAACAGCAACGAACAAATTCAACGTAGTTAATTTACATATAACAAAAAGAATTAGATACTCAAAGTCAAATGTCTATGACTTCTGGAAAGTGTATTTAAAGTTTAAATTTAAACAGTACAATTCAAATATACGTCTTACAAAGAAAAGGAAAAAATTTCTGTTACCTTTTGTAGTCGAAATTAAATCTTTTTTTTTTAGATCTCTTTTACTTGTTTTGATTTCTTCGTCTTCTTTTTCTCAGCAAATAAAAACACCAGTTAAGGTTGTTTGTTTTGTTTTTTTTTTTTTTTTTTTTTTTTGAGGGGGGACCTTATGACGAAAAGGACAAAATTCTAGTAATTCGAAAAGAGCTAACGAGCGAGGAAAAGTTTTGTCTTTTATACAGCCCTATGGATGATCTTATTTCCAGTCGAGAGGGGTAACAAACTGTCAAGAGCTAAGAGCTAACTCTGTTGACTGAATGATGTAAGTTCAATCCTAGCGCTAGGCAGGGAATTTTATTGTTATTTTTCTCTTCAACATCACATTCTATAATATTTCAAAATAAACAATATTTTCAGCAAGACATAAATTTTTGCAAATTTCCTTTAGTTTTACCATTATGAGAAGTCCATTTGAATTTCAAACTCTAGAAATTGATACATAGGACTTCAGGAGTTACCATATAAAAAAAAAATAATTAACTAATGTTTTTTATTCATTCCGAATTGGTATTTACTACGACAAATAATAATAATATATTTTAAAATTTGTTATTTTCATCTATTTAAACAATTCGGTAGTTAGGCAGTTTTCACAGAATCAAATTAAGTACATTATCTTGATTTTATTTAGATAATTCAACAAAACTTTTTCGGTTCCGCTTGACTTTACTGTAGTAGTGTAAGCCAGACTAGAACAATTGTTAAGAAGAAATAAGATTGTTAATTAATGATGTCAATCCTAAAATATAGAAATTTATAACAAAAAATAGTATTTCTAAATTATTTATACCTCCTTCTAAAAAAAGGAACTTAGAAGCCGAAATTACATATATATCGTACATTTATTTTTACGTAGATGACCGCATCATACTATAGTCTACCCATTAAGAAGTCCAATTACCAATACTGAACCATGTGAACTCAATATGTTCATCGAAACAATTCCCAATGAAGAGAGAGATAAGAACAAAGTCGCAAACTGGCCAAATATGTCGAAAAGAGCAAGGGTTCAAGACATCCGTATACCGCAAGGCAACATTCACCAAACTACACCACAACATCAACTCCTAACACGCATACAGTTTTTTTTTTTTTTAATGTATTTTGAAACCATAGAAACATAAAAATCAATTACAATCAATTTCATGTATGATAAATGCGTTTATAGCGGCCCCTGAAAGGGGGGGTCTGCGATATGTATGCACGGGCTCGGCGCCCCCGTATCATAAGTGATGAGGTCACAAGAGGCCCACCAAAGTTTTTTGTACTAAAGACGTTAAATCTGAAAATGGTGAAATAAAATGGACAACAAAACGATAATATGTATGGATTAATGCTAATTTATTATATAAAGAAGGTATATTGATCTGCCAATCGTAGTAATGGTGGTCGACTGGTCGTCGAAGGCTGGAGTTGGGTGCAGATTGTTCCGGAATAAGGCCGACGGTTGGAGTCGAGGGGACGTTCCGGTCGTGTCGACGGTTGAAATCGAGATGCAGAAAATCCAGTCGTGTCGAAGGTTGGAGTTTAGGTGCAGACGTTCCGGTCGTGTCGACGGTTGAAGTCGAGATGCAGATATTCCGGTCGTGTCGAAATCAGGAGTTGAGATGCAGACGTTCCGGTGGTGTTAACGGTTGGAGTCGAGGTGCAGATTTTCCGGTCGGTGGTCGATCTGGTCGTGTCGACGGTCGGACTGGACATGTAGACGACGGGAAACTGGTGTGGTCGATCTGGTCGTGTCGACGGTCAGACTGGACGTGTCGGCGACGGGAAGCTGACGTATGGTCCCGATCTGGTCGTGTCGACGGTCGGACTGGACATGTCGACGACGGGAAGCTGAGGTGGCGGGTCGATCTGGTCGTGTCGACGGTCGGACTGGACATGTCGACGACGGGTCGTGTCGAACTGGACTGAGTTGAGAGTGGACGATCTGGTCGTGTCGACGGTCGGACTGGTCATATCTCGACGACGGGAAGCTGACGTGTGGTCGATCTGGTCGTGTCGACGGTCGGACTGGACATATCGACGACAGGAAGCTGAGGGTGTGGTCGATCTCGTCGTGTCGATGGTCGGACTGGTCATGTCGACGACGGGAAGCGAGGTGTGGACGATCTGGTCGTGTCGACGGTCGGACTGGTCATGTCGACGACGGGAAGCTGGGGTGTGGACGATCTGGTCGTGTCGACGGTCGGACTGGACATGTCGACGACAGGAAGCTGAGGTGTGGTCGATCTGGTCGTGTCGACGGTCGGCGACGACTGGACATGTCGACGACGGGAAGCTGAGGTGGTCGATCTGGTCGTGTCGACGGTCGGACTGGACATGTCGACGACGGGAAGCTGAGTTGTGGACGATCTGGTCGTGTCGACGGTCGGACTGGTTGTGGACATGGTCGACGACGGTCGGACTGGAACTGACGACAGTTGAGGGTCGATCTGGTCGTGTCGACGGTCGGACTGGACATGTCGACGACGGGAAGCTGAGTTATGGACGATCTGGTCGTGTCGACGGTCGGACTGGTCATCGACGACGGGCTGAGGTGTGGTCGATCTGGTCGTGTCGACGGTCGAACTGGACATGTGACGTCGATCTGGTCGTGTCGACGGTCGGACTGGACATGTAGACGACGGGAAGCTGAGTTGTGGACGATCTGGTCGTGTCGACGGTCGGACTGGACATGTAGACGACAGGAAGCTGAGGTGTGGTCGATCTGGTCTGGTCGTGTCGACGGTCGGACTGGACATGTCGACGACGGGAAGCTGAGGTGTGGTCGATCTGGTCGTGTCGACGGTCGGACTGGACATGTCGACGGGAAGCTGAGTTGTGGACGACGTGTCGACGGTCGGACTGGTCATGTCGACGACAGGGGGCTGAGGTGTGGTCGATCTGGTCGTGTCGACGGTCGGACTGGACATGTCGACGACGGAAGCTGAGGTGTGGTCGATCTGGTCGTTGGACTGGACATCGGACTGGGTGTGGTCGATGGTCGTGTCGACGACAGGGGAAGCTGAGGTGTGGACGATCTGGTCGTGTCGACGGTCGGACTGGTCATGTCGACGACGGGAAGCTGAGGTGTGGTCGATCTGGTCGTGTCGACGGTCGGACTGGTCATGTCGACGACGACGATCTGGTCGTGTCGACGGTCGGACTGGACAGTGTCGGCGACGGGAAGCTGAGTGTGGACGATCTGGTCGTGTCGACGGTCGGACTGGTCATGTCGACGACGGGAAGCTGAGGTGTGGTCGATCTGGTCGTGTCGACGGTCGGACTGGACATGTCGACGACAGGAAGCTGAGGTGTGGTCGATCTGGTCGTTTCGACGGTCGGACTGGACATGTAGACTACGGGAAGCTGAGGTGTGGACGATCTGGTCGTGTCGACGGTCGGACTGGACATGACGACGACGGGAAGCTGAGTTGTGGCCGATCTGGTCGTGTCGACGGTCGGACTGGTCATGTCGACGACGGGAAGCTGAGGTGTGGTCGATCTGGTCGTGTCCACGGTCGGACTGGTCGTGTCGACGTCGACGACAGGACGCTGAAGTTGTGGTCGATCTGGTCGTGTCGACGGTCGGACTGGTCATGTCGACGACGGAAGCTGGAAGCTGAGTTGTGGTCGATCTGGTCGTGTCGACGGTCGGACTGGACGAGTCGACGACGGAAGCTGAGTTGTGGACGATCTGGTCGTGTCGACGGTCGGACTGTCATGTCGACGACGGGAAGCTGAGGTGTGGTCGATCTGGTCGTGTCGACGGTCGGACTGGACATATCGACGACGGAAGCTGAGGTGTGGTCGATCTGGTCGTGTCGACGGTCGGACTGGACATGTCGACGACGGGAAGCTGAGGTGTGGTCGATCTGGTGTCGACGGTCGACGGACATGTCGACTGGTCGGACGGTCGGATGGCCGACGACGTGGACGATCTGGTCGTGTCGACGGTCGGACTGGACATGTAGACGACGGAAGCTGAGGTCGATCTGGTCGTGTCGACGGTCGGACTGGACGACGTCGACGACGGGAAGCTGAGGTGTGGTCGATCTGGTCGTGTCGACGGTCGGACTGGACGTGTCGACGACGGGAAGCTGAGGTGTGGTCGATCTGGTCGTGTCGACGGTCGGACTGGTCATGTCGACGACGGGAAGCTGAGGTGTGGACGATCTGGTCGTGTCGACGGTCGGACTGGACATGTAGACGACGGAAGCTGAGGTGTGGTCGATCTGGTCGTGTCGACGGTCGGACTGGACATGTCGACGGACGGGTGTGCGATCTGGTCGTGTCGATGGTCGGACTGGACATGTCGACGACGGAAGCTGAGGTGGTCGATGGTCGTGTCGACGGTCGGACTGGACGACGACGGGAAGCTGTCGACAGTCGGTCGTCGGATACCGACGACGACGGGCTGAGGTGTGGTCGATCTGGTCGTGTCGACGGACTGGTCGGACGACGACGGGAAGCTGAGGTGTGGTCGATCTGGTCGTCGACGGTCGGACTGGTCATGTCGACGAGGGAAGCTGAGATGTGGTCGATCTGGTCGTGTCGACGGTCGGACTGGACATGTAGACGACGGAAGCTGAGGTATGGATCTGGTCGTGTCGATCTGGTCGTGTCGACGGTCGGACTGGTCGTGTCGACGGTCGACACGGACGACGACTGAGTTGTGGGACGATCTGGTCGTGTCGACGGTCGGACTGGTCATGTCGACGACGGAAGCTGAGGTGTGGTCGATCTGGTCGTGTCGACGGTCGGACTGGTCATGTCGACGACGGGAAGCTGAGGTGTGGTCGATCTGGTCGTGTCGACGGTCGGACTGGACATGTCGACGACGGGAAGCTGAGTTGTGGACGATCTGGTCGTGTCGACGGTCGGACTGGACATGTCGACGACGGGAAGCTGAGTTGTGGTCGATCTGGTCGTGTCGACGGTCGGACTGGTCATGTCGACGACGGGAAGCTGAGGTGTGGTCGATCTGGTCGTGTCGACGGTCGGACTGGACATGTCGACGACAGGAAGCTGAGGTGGTCGATCTGGTCGTGTCGACGGTCGGACTGGACATGTCGACGACGGAAGCTGAGGTGTGGACGATCTGGTCGGTCGACGGTCGGACTGGACATCTGGTCGACGACGGGAAGTCGACGAGGTTGTGGTCGATCTGGTCGTGTCGACGGTCGGACTGGACATGTCGACGACGGAAGCTGAGGTGTGGTCGATCTGGTCGTGTCGACGGTCGACTGGTCGACGACGGGAAGCTGAGTGTGGTCGATCTGGTCGTGTCGACGGTCGGACTGGACATGACGACGACGGGAAGCTGAGGTGTGGTCGATCTGGTCGTGTCGACGGTCGGACTGGTCATGTCGACGACGGGAAGCTGAGGGGTGGTCGATCTGGTCGTGTCGACGGTCGGACTCGACGTGTCGGCGACGGGAAGCTGAGGTGTGGTCGATCTGGTCGTGTCGACGGTCGGACTGGACATGTCGACGACGGGAAGCTGAGTTGTGGTCGATCTGGTCGTGTCGACGGTCGGACTGGTCATGTCGACGACGGAAGCTGAGGTGTGGTCGATCTGGTCGTGTCGACGGTCGGACTGGACATGTCGACGACGGGAAGCTGAGGTGGTGATCTGGTCGATCGGACTGGTCATGTCGACGGTCGGAGTGTGGACGATCTGGTCGTGTCGACGACTGGGAACGCTGAGGTGTGGACGATCTGGTCGTGTCGACGGTCGGACTGGACATGTCGACGACGGGAAGCTGAGGTGTGGACGATCTGGTCGTGTCGACGGTCGGACTGGACATGTCGACGACGGAAGCTGAGGTGGGACGATCTGGTCGTGTCGACGGTCGGACTGGACGACGACGACGGGAAGCTGAGGTGTGGTCGATCTGGTCGTGTCGACGGTCGGACTGGTCATGTCGACGACGGGAAGCTGAGGTGTGGTCGATCTGGTCGTGTCGACGGTCGGACTGGACATGTCGACGACAGGAAGCTGAGGTGTGGTCGATCTGGTCGTGTCGACGATCGGACTGGACATGTCGACGAAGGGAAGCTGAGGTGTGGTCGATCTGGTCGTGTCGACGGTCGGACTGGACATGTCGACGACGGGAGCTGAGGTGTGGTCGATCTGGTCGTGTCGACGGTCGGACTGGACATGTCGACGACGGGAAGCTGAGGTGTGGTCGATCTGGTCGTGTCGACGGTCGGACTGGACATGTCGACGACTGGGTGTCGACGGTCGGACTGAGGACGGAAGCTGGTCGATCTGGTCGTGTCGACGGTCGGACTGGACATGTCGACGACGGGAAGCTGAGGTGTGGACGATCTGGTCGTGTCGACGGTCGGACTGGACATGTCGACGACGGGAAGCTGAGGTGGTCGATCTGGTCGTGTCGACGGTCGGACTGGACATGTCGACGACGGGAAGCTGAGGTGTGTCGATCTGGTCGTCGACGGTCGACGACGGTCGGGAAGCTGAGGTCGTGACGGGAAGCGATCTGGTCGTGTCGACGGTCGGACTGGACATGTCGACGACGGGAAGCTGAGGTGGTGGTCGATCTGGTCGTGTCGACGGTCGGACTGACATGTCGACGACAGGAAGCTGAGTCGATCTGGTCGTCGACGGTCGGACTGGACATGTCGACGACGGGAAGCTGAGGTGTGGTCGATCTGGTCGTGTCGACGGTCGGACTGGACATGTCGACGACGGGAAGCTGAGGTGTGGTCGATCTGGTCGTGTCGACGGTCGGACTGGACGGTCGACGACGGGAAGCTGAGGTGTGGTCGATCTGGTCGTGTCGACGGTCGGACTGGACATGTCGACGACGGGAAGCTGAGGTGTGGTCGATCTGGTCGTGTCGACGGTCGGACTGGACATGTCGACGACGGGAAGCTGAGGTGTGGACGATCTGGTCGTGTCGACGGTCGGACTGGACATGTCGACGACGGGAAGCTGAGTGTGGACGATCTGGTCGTGTCGACGGTCGGACTGGACATGTCGACGACGGGAAGCTGAGGGGTGGTCGATCTCGATCGACGGTCGGACTCGACGTGGCGACGAAGCTGAAGTGGTCTGGTCGTGTCGATGGTCGGACTGGTCATGTCGACGACGGAAGCTGAGGTGTGGTCGATCTGGTCGTGTCGACGGTCGGACTGGACATGTCGACGACGGGAAGCTGAGTTGTGGACGATCTGGTCGTGTCGACGGTCGGACTGGTCATGTCGACGACGGAAGCTGAGTTGTGGACGATCTGGTCGTGTCGACGGTCGGACTGGTCATGTCGACGACGGGAAGCTGAGGTGTGGTCGATCTGGTCGTGTCGACGATCGGACTGGTCATGTCGACGACGGGAAGCTGAGGTGTGGTCGATCTGGTCGTGTCGACGGTCGGACTGGACGACGGGAAGCTGAGTGTCGACGACGGGAAGCTGAGGTGTGGACGATCTGGTCGAAGTCGACGGGTCGGACTGGACATGTCGACGACGGGAAGCTGAGGGGTGGACGATCTGGTCGTGTCGACGGTCGGACTGGACATGTCGACGACGGGAAGCTGAGGTGTGGTCGATCTGGTCGTGTCGACGGTCGGACTGGACATGTCGACGACGGAAGCTGAGGTGTGGTCGATCTGGTCGTGTCGACGGTCGGACTGGTCATGTCGACGACGGAAGCTGAGGTGTGGTCGATCTGGTCGTGTCGACGGTCGGACTGGTCATGTCGACGACGGGAAGCTGAGGTGTGGTCGATCTGGTCGTGTCGACGGTCGGACTGGACATGAGGTGTCGATCGACGACGGTCGGAAGACGACGGGAGGTGTGGTCGATCTGGTCGTGTCGACGGTCGGACTGGTCATGTCGACGACGGGAAGCTGAGGTGTGGTCGATCTGGTCGTGTCGACGGTCGGACTGGACGGACGACGGGAAGATGAGGTGTGGTCGATCTGGTCGTGTCGACGGTCGGACTGGTCATGTCGACGACGGAAGCTGAGGTGTGGTCGATCTGGTCGTGTCGACGGTCGGACTGGACATGTCGACGACGGGAAGCTGAGGTGTGGTCGATCTGGTCGTGTCGACGGTCGACGGTCGGACTGGAAGCATGTGGACGATCTGGTCGTGTCGACGGTCGGACTGGACGATGTCGACGACGGGAAGCTGAGGTGTGGTCGATCTGGTCGTGTCGACGGTCGGACTGGACATGTCGACGACGGGAAGCTGAGGTGTGGTCGATCTGGTCGTGTCGACGGTCGGACTGGACATGTCGACGACGGGAAGCTGAGGTGTGGTCGATCTGGTCGACGTCGACGGTCGGACGACGGGGAAGCTGGTCTGGTCGTGTCGACGGTCGGACCGACAAGCGACGAGGTGGTCGATCTGGTCGTGTCGACGGTCGGACTGGTGTCGACGACGGAAGCTGAGGTGTGGTCGATCTGGTCGTGTCGACGGTCGGACTGACATGTCGACGACGGGAAGCTGAGGTGTGGACGATCTGGTCGTGTCGACGGTCGGACTGGACATGTCGACGACGGGAAGCTGAGGTGTGGTCGATCTGGTCGTGTCGACGGTCGGACTGGACATGTCGACGACGGTCGGACTGGAGCTGAGGTGTGGTCGATCTGGTCGTGTCGACGGTCGGACTGGACATGTCGACGACGGGAAGCTGAGGTGTGGTCGATCTGGTCGTGTCGACGGTCGGACTGGACATGTCGACGACGGGAAGCTGAGGTGTGGACGATCTGGTCGTGTCGACGGTCGGACTGGACATGTCGACGACGGAAGCTGAGGTGTGGTCGATCTGGTCGTGTCGACGGTCGGACTGGACGTGTCGACGACGGAAGCTGAGGGTGGTCTGGTCGATCGACGGTCGGACTGGTCGACGGGAAGCTGTCGACGGTCGGACTGGTCGGATGGTCGTCGACGACGGGAAGCTGAGGTGTGGTCGATCTGGTCGTGTCGACGGTCGGACTGGACATGTCGACGACGGGAAGCTGAGTTGTGTCTGGTCGTGTCGACGGTCTGGTCGTGACGACGGTCGGACTGGTCATGTCGACGGTCGACGGACGGGACGACGGGAAGCTGAGGTGTGGTCGATCTGGTCGTGTCGACGGTCGGACTGGACATGACGACGACGGGAAGCTGAGGTGTGGTCGATCTGGTCGTGTCGACGGTCGGACTGGTCATGTCGACGACGGAAGCTGAGGTGTGGACGATCTGGTCGTGTCGACGGTCGGACTGGACATGTCGACGACGGGAAGCTGAGGTGTGGTCGATCTGGTCGTGTCGACGGTCGGACTGGTCGGTCGGACTGGTCATGACGACGGGAAGCTGAGTTGTGGACGATCTGGTCGTGTCGACGGTCGGACTGGACATGTCGACGACGGGAAGCTGAGGTGGACGATCTGGTCGTGTCGACGGTCGGACTGGACATGTCGACGACGGGAAGCTGAGGTGTCGGGTCGATCTGGTCGTGTCGACGGTCGGACTGGTCATGTCGACGACGGAAGCTGAGGTGTGGTCGATCTGTCGACGGACTGGTCACGGACGGGAAGCTGAGGTGTGGTCGATCTGGTCGTGTCGACGGTCGGACTGGACATGTCGACGACGGGAAGCTGAGGTGTGGTCGATCTGGTCGTGTCGACGGTCGGACTGGACATGTCGACGACGGAAGCTGAGTTGTGGACGATCTGGTCGTGTCGACGACGGTCGGATCTGGATCTGGTCGTGTCGACGGTCGGACTGGACATCGACGACGAAGCTGAGGTGTGGTCGATCTGGTCGTGTCGACGGTCGGACTGGTCATGTCGACGACGGGAAGCTGAGTTGTGGACGATCTGGTCGTGTCGACGGTCGGACTGGTCATGTCGACGACGGGAAGCTGAGGTGTGGTCGATCTGGTCGTGTCGACGGTCGGACTGGACGTGACGACGACGGAAGCTGAGGTGTGGACGATCTGGTCGTGTCGACGGTCGGACTGGACATGTCGACGACGGGAAGCTGAGGTGTGGTCGATCTGGTCGTGTCGACGGTCGGACTGGACATGTCGACGACGGGAAGCTGAGGTGTGGTCGATCTGGTCGTGTCGACGGTCGGACTGGACATGTCGACGACGGGAAGCTGAGGTGGACGATCTGGTCGTGTCGACGGTCGGACTGGACATGTCGACGACGGGAAGCTGAGGGGTGGACGATCTGGTCGTGTCGACGGTCGGACTGGTCATGTCGACGACGGGAAGCTGAGGTGTGTCGATCTGGTCGTGTCGACGGTCGGACTGGACATGTCGACGACGGGAAGCTGAGGTGTGGTCGATCTGGTCGTGTCGACGGTCGGACTGGACATGTCGACGACGGGGAAGCTGAGTTGTGGACGATCTGGTCGTGTCGACGGTCGGACTGGACGAGTCGTCGACGGGAAGCTGAGGTGTGGACGATCTGGTCGTGTCGACGGTCGGACTGGACATGTAGACGACGGGAAGCTGAGGTGTGGACGATCTGGTCGTGTCGACGGTCGGACTGGACATGTCGACGACGGGAAGCTGAGTTGTGGACGATCTGGTCGTGTCGACGGTCGGACTGGTCATGTCGACGACGGGAAGCTGAGGGTCGTCTGGTGTCGACGGTCGATCATGGTCGTGTCGACGGTCGTGTCGGACTGGACATGTCGACGACGGGAAGCTGAGGTGTGGACGATCTGGTCGTGTCGACGGTCGGACTGGACATGTCGACGACGGGAAGCTGAGGTGTGGTCGATCTGGTCGTGTCGACGGTCGGACTGGACGTGTCGGCGACGGGAAGCTGAGGTGTGGTCGATCTGGTCGTGTCGACGGTCGGACTGGTCATGTCGACGACGGGAAGCTGAGGTGTGGTCGATCTGGTCGTGTCGACGGTCGGACTGGATGTCGACGACGGGAAGCTGAGGTGTGGTCGATCTGGTCGTGTCGACGGTCGGACTGGTCATGTCGACGACGGGAAGCTGAGATGTGGTCGATCTGGTCGTGTCGACGGTCGGACTGGACATGTCGACGACGGGAAGCTGAGTTGTGGACGATCTGGTCGTGTCGACGGTCGGACTGGACATGTCGACGACGTCTGAGGGGGTGGACGATCTGGTCGTGTCGACGGTCGGACTGGTCATGTCGACGACGGAAGCTGAGTTGTGGTCGATCTGGTCGTGTCGACGGTCGGACTGGTCATGTCGACGACAGGAAGCTGAGGTGGGTCGATCTGGTCGTGTCGACGGTCGGACTGGACATGTCGACGACGGGAAGCTGATTTGTAGACGATCTGGTCGTGTCGACGGTCGGACTGGACATGTCGACGACGGGAAGCTGAGGTGTGGTCGATCTGGTCGTGTCGACGGTCGGACTGGACATGTCGACGACGGGAAGCTGAGGTGGGTCGATCTGGTCGTGTCGACGGTCGGACTGGACATGTCGACGACGGGAAGCTGAGGTGTGGTCGATCTGGTCGTGTCGACGGTCGGACTGGACATGTCGACGACGACGGTCGAGAGACGACGGAAGCTGAGGTGGTCGATCGGACTGGTCATGTGACTGACGGTCGGACTGGAACGACTGGTGTGGTCGATCTGGTCGTGTCGACGGTCGGACTGGACATGTCGACGACGGGAAGCTGAGTGGTGGACGATCTGGTCGTGTCGACGGTCGGACTGGTCATGTCGACGACGGGAAGCTGAGGTGTGGTCGATCTGGTCGTGTCGACGGTCGGACTGGACATGTCGACGACGGGAAGCTGAGGTGTGGCCGATCTGGTCGTGTCGACGGTCGGACTGGACATGTAGACGACGGGAAGCTGAGGTGTGGTCGATCTGGTCGTGTCGACAGTCGGATTGGTCATGTCGACGACGGGAAGCTGAGGTGTGGTCGATCTGGTCGTGTCGACGGTCGGACTGGACATGTAGACGACGGGAAGCTGAGTTGTGGACGATCTGGTCGTGTCGACGGTCGGACTGGTCATGTCGACGACGGGAAGCTGAGGTGTGGACGATCTGGTCGTGGACGGTCGGACTGGACATGTCGACGACGGAAGCGAGACGATCTGGTCGTGTCGACGACTGGAATGCGACGACGGGAAGCTGGTCGTGGTCGATCGTCGTGTCGACGGTCGGACTGGACATGTCGACGACGGGAAGCTGAGGTGTGGTCGATCTGGTCGTGTCGACGGTCGGACTGGACATGTCGACGACGGGAAGCTGAGGTGTGGTCGATCTGGTCGTGTCGACGGTCGGACTGGACATGTCGACGACGGGAAGCTGAGGTGGACGATCTGGTCGTGTCGACGGTCGGACTGGCCATGTCGACGACGGGAAGCTGAGGGGTGGACGATCTGGTCGTGTCGACGGTCGGACTGGACATGTCGACGACGGGAAGCTGAGGGTCGATCTGGTCGTGTCGACGGTCTGGTCGTGTCGACGACGGACTGGTCGATCTGGTCGTGTCGACGGTCGGACTGGCTGACGACGGGAAGTGGACGATCTGGTCGTGTCGACGGTCGGACTGGACATGTCGACGACGGGAAGCTGAGGTGTGGTCGATCTGGTCGTCGACGGTCGGACTGGTCGACGTCGACGGTCGGACTGGTCGGACTCGGTCGTGTCGACGGAAGCTGAGGTGTGGTCGATCTGGTCGTGTCGACGGTCGGACTGGACATGTCGACGACGGGAAGCTGAGGTGTGGACGATCTGGTCGTGTCGACGGTCGGACTGGACATGTCGACGACGGGAAGCTGAGGTGTGGACGATCTGGTCGTGTCGACGGTCGGACTGGTGTCGACGACGGAAGCTGAGGTGACTGGTCGTGTCGACGGTCGACTGGACATGTCGACGACGGGAAGCTGAGGTGTGGACGATCTGGTCTTGTCGACGGTCGGACTGGACATGTCGACGACGGGAAGCTGAGGTGTGGTCGATCTGGTCGTGTCGACGGTCGGACTGGTCATGTCGACGACGGGAAGCTGAGGTGTGGTCGATCTGGTCGTGTCGACGGTCGGACTGGTCGTGTCGACGGTCGACGGAAGCTGAGGTGGTCGATCTGGTCGTGTCGACGGTCGGACTGGACATGTCGACGACGGGAAGCTGAGTTGTGGACGATCTGGTCGTGTCGACGGTCGGACTGGTCATGTCGACGACGGAAGCTGAGGTGTGGTCGATCTGGTGTGGACGGTCGGACTGGTCGACGACGGGAAGCTGAGGTGTGGTCGATCTGTCGGACTGGACTGGTCATGTCGACGACGGGAAGCTGAGGTGTGTGGTCGATCTGGTCGTGTCGACGGTCGGACTGGACGGTGTCGACGACGGGAAGCTGAGGTGTGGACGATCTGGTCGTGTCGACGGTCGGACTGGACATGTCGACGACGGGAAGCTGAGGGTGGTCGATCTGGTCGTGTCGACGGTCGGACTGGACGAGTCGACGACGGAAGCTGAGGTGTGGTCGATCTGGTCGTGTCGACGGTCGGACTGGTCATGTCGACGACGGGAAGCTGAGGTGTGTCGATCTGGTCGTGTCGACGGTCGGACTGGACATGTCGACGACGGGAAGCTGAGGGTGGTCGATCTGGTCGTGTCGACGGTCGGACTGGTCGTCGACGACGGGAAGCTGAGGTGTGGTCGATCTGGTCGTGTCGACGGTCGGACTGGACATGTCGACGACGGGAAGCTGAGTGTGGGTCGATCTGGTCGTGTCGACGGTCGGACTGGACATGTCGACGACGGGAAGCTGAGGTGATCTGGTCGTGTCGACGGTCGGACTGGACATGTCGACGGTCGGACTGGACTGGTCGTGTCGACGGTCGGACTGGACACGACGGGAAGCTGAGGTGTGGTCGATCTGGTCGTGTCGACGGTCGGACTGGACATGTCGACGACGGGAAGCTGAGGGTGGTCGATCTGGTCGTGTCGACGGTCGGACTGGACATGTCGACGACGGAAGCTGAGGTGTGGACGATCTGGTCGTGTCGACGGTCGGACTGGACATGTCGACGACGGGAAGCTGAGGTGTGGACGATCTGGTCGTGTCGACGGTCGGACTGGTCGATCTGGTCGTCGACGACGGGAAGCTGAGGTGTGGTCGATCTGGTCGTGTCGACGGTCGGACTGGTCATGTCGACGACGGGAAGCTGGGGTGTGGTCGATCTGGTCGACGGTCGGACTGGACATGTCGACGACGGGAAGCTGAGGTGTGGACGATCTGGTCGTGTCGACGGTCGGACTGGTCATGTCGACGACGCGAAGCTGAGGTGTGGTCGATCTGGTCGTGTCGACGGTCGGACTGGACATGTCGACGACGGGAAGCTGAGGTGTGGACGATCTGGTCGTGTCGACGGTCGGACTGGACATGTCGACGACGGGAAGCTGAGGTGTGGTCGATCTGGTCGTGTCGACGGTCGGACTGGACATGTCGACGACGGGAAGCTTGTGAGATCTGGGTCGTGTCGATCGGACTGGACATGTCGACGGTCGACGATCTGGTCGTGTCGACGGTCGGACTGGTCACGACGGGAAGCTGAGGTGTGGACGATCTGGTCGTGTCGACGGTCGGACTGGACGACGGGAAGCTGAGGTGTGGTCGATCTGGTCGTGTCGACGGTCGGACTGGGAACGACGGGAAGCTGAGGTGTGGTCGATCTGGTCGTGTCGACGGTCGGACTGGTCATGTCGACGACGGGAAGCTGAGGTGTGGTCGATCTGGTCGTGTCGACGGTCGGACTGGACATGTCGACGACGGGAAGCTGAGGTGTGGTCGATCTGGTCGTGTCGACGGTCGGACTGGTCATGTCGACGACAGGAAGCTGAGTTGTGACGATCTGGTCGTGTCGACGGTCGGACTGGACATATCGACGACGGGAGCTGAGGTGTGGACGATCTGGTCGTGTCGACGGTCGGACTGTGTCGACGACGGGAAGCTGAGGTGTGGTCGATCTGGTCGTGTCGACGGTCGGACTGGACATGTCGACGACGGGAAGCTGAGGTGTGGTCGATCTGGTCGTGTCGACGGTCGGACTGGTCATGTCGACGACGGAAGCTGAGGTGTGGTCGATCTGGTCGTGTCGACGGTCGTGTGGACATGTCGACGACGGAAGCTGAGGTGTGGACGATCTGGTCGTGTCGACGGTCGGACTGGTCAGCTGAGGTGTGGTCGATCTGGTCGTGTCGACGGTCGGACTGGACATGTCGACGACGGGAAGCTGAGGTGTGGTCGATCTGGTCGTGTCGACGGTCGGACTGGACATGTCGACGACGGGAAGCTGAGGTGTGGTCGATCTGGTCGTGTCGACGGTCGGACTGGACATGTCGACGACGGAAGCTGAGGGTGGTCGATCTGGTCGTGTCGACGGTCGGACTGGACATGTCGACGACGGGAAGCTGAGGTGTGGTCGATCTGGTCGTGTCGACGGTCGGACTGGACATGTCGACGACGGGAAGCTGAGTTGTGGTCGATCTGGTCGTGTCGACGGTCGGACGGTCGAGTCGACGACGGGAAGCTGAGGTGGGACGTCGACGGTCGGACTGGACATGTCGACGACGGGAAGCTGAGGGTGGTCGATCTGGTCGTGTCGACGGTCGGACTGGACATGTCGACGACGGGGAAGCTGAGGTGTGGTCGATCTGGTCGTGTCGACGGTCGGACTGGACATGTCGACGACGGGAAGCTGAGGGGTGGTCGATCTGGTCGTGTCGACGGTCGGACTCGTGTCGGCGACGGGAAGCTGAGGTGGACGATCTGGTCGGTCGGACTGGTCATGAGACGACGACGGGAAGCTCGACGTGTCGACGGGCGACGCTGAGGTGTGGTCGATCTGGTCGTGTCGACGGTCGGACTGGACATGTCGACGACGGGAAGCTGAGGTGTGGACGATCTGGTCGTGTCGACGGTCGGACTGGTCATGTCGACGACGGGAAGCTGAGGTGTGGTCGATCTGGTCGTGTCGACGGTCGGACTGGACGAGTCGACGACGGGAAGCTGAGGGTGGACGATCTGGTCGTGTCGACGGTCGGACTGGACATGTCGACGACGGGAAGCTGAGTTGTGGTCGATCTGGTCGTGTCGACGGTCGGACTGGACATGTCGACGACGGGAAGCTGAGGTGTGGTCGATCTGGTCGTGTCGACGGTCGGACTGGTCATGTCGACGACGGGAAGCTGATGTGTGGACGATCTGGTCGTGTCGACGGTCGGACTAGACGTGTCGGCGACGGGAAGCTGAGGTGTGGACGATCTGGTCGTTTCGACGGTCGGACTGGACATGTCGACGACGGGAAGCTGAGGTGGGACGATCTGGTGGTGTCGACGGTCGGACTGTGTCGACGGTCGGACTGGTCACGGTCGGACGACATGACGGACGGAAGCTGAGGTGTGGACGATCTGGTCGTGTCGACGGTCGGACTGGACATGTCGACGACGGGAAGCTGAGGGGTCGATCTGGTCGTGTCGACGGTCGGACTGGACGTGTCGGCGACGGGGAAGGAGGTGGACGATCTGGTCGTGTCGACGGTCGGACTGGGAAGTCGACGACGGGAAGCTGAGGTGTGGTCGATCTGGTCGTGTCGACGGTCGGACTGGACATGTCGACGACAGGAAGCTGAGGTGTGGTCGATCTGGTCGTGTCGACTGGACATGTCGGACGGACAGGTGGGTCGATCTGGTCGTCGACGGTCGGAGGTCTGACGACGGAGCTGAGGGTAGTCGATCTGGTCGTGTCGACGGTCGGACTGGTCATGTCGACGACGGAAGCTGAGGTGGACGATCTGGTCGTGTCGACGGTCGGACTGGACATGTCGACGACGGGAGCTGAGGTGGACGATCTGGTCGACGGTCGGACTGGACATGACGACGACGGTCGGACTGGACTCATGTCGACGACGGGAAGCTGAGGTGTGGTCGATCTGGTCGTGTCGACGGTCGGACTGGTCATGTCGACGACGGGAAGCTGAGGTGTGGACGATCTGGTCGTGTCGACGGTCGGACTGGACATGTCGACGACGGGAAGCTGAGGTGTGGTCGATCTGGTCGTGTCGACGGTGGACTGGACGTGTCGACGACGGGACTGGCGTCGACGACGTGGACGGGAAGCTGAGGTGGTCGATCTGGTCGTGTCGACGGTCGGACTGGTCATGTCGACGACGGAAGCTGAGGTGTGGTCGATCTGGTCGTGTCGACGGTCGGACTGGTCATGTCGACGACGGGAAGCTGAGGTGTGGTCGATCTGGTCGTGTCGACGGTCGGACTGGACGTGACGACAGATGGAAGCTGTGGTCGATCTGGTCGTGTCGACGGTCGGACTGGACATGACGACGGGAAGCTGAGGTGGACGATCTGGTCGTGTCGACGGTCGGACTGGACATGACGGCGACGGGAAGCTGAGGGTGGTCGATCTGGTCGTGTCGACGGTCGGACTGGACATGTCGACGACGGAAGCTGAGGTGGTCGATCTGGTCGCCGACGGTCGGACTGGACATGTCGACGACGGGAAGCTGAGGTGGACGATCTGGTCGTGTCGACGGTCGGACTGGTCATGACGACGACGGGAAGCTGAGGGTGGTCGATCTGGTCGTGTCGACGGTCGGACTGGACATGTCGACGACGGAAGCTGAGGTGGACGATCTGGTCGTGTCGACGGTCGGACTGGACATGTCGACGACGGGAAGCTGAGGGTGGACGATCTGATCGACGGTCGGACGGTCGGACTGGGACGAGTGGTCGATCGACGGAAGCGAGGTGGAGTTCGATCTGGTGACGATCTGGTCGTGTCGACGGTCGGACTGGACATGTCGACGACGGGAAGCTGAGGGTGGACGATCTGGTCGGCGTCGACGGTCGGACTGGGACGTGTCGACGGTCGGGAACACGACGAGGGTGGTCGATCTGGTCGACGGTCGACGGTCGGACTGGGTGCGGTCATCTGGTCGACGACTGGGAAGCTGAGGGTGGTCGATCTGGTCGTGTCGACGGTCGGACTGGACATGTCGGCGACGCTGAAGTGTGGACGATCTGGTCGTGTCGACGGTCGGACTGGACGGTCGACGACGGGAAGCTGAGGTGGTCGATCTGGTCGTGTCGACGGTCGACCGGACTATGTCGACGACAGGAAGCTGAGGGGTGGTCGATCTGGTCGTGTCGACGGTCGGACTGGTCATGTCGACGACGGGAAGCTGAGTGTGTGGACGATCTGGTCGTGTCGACGGTCGGACTGGACGTGTCGACGACAGGAAGCTGAGGTGGACGATCTGGTCGTGTCGACGGTCGGACTGGACATGTCGACGACGGGAAGCTGAGGTGTGGACGATCTGGTCGTGTCGACGGTCGGACTGGACGTGTCGACGACGGAAGCTGAGTTGGTGACGTGACGGTCGGACTGGACATGTCGACGACGGAAGCTGAGGACGATCTGGTGTCCGACGGTCGGACGACGAGGACGACAGGAAGCTGAGGTGGGTCGATCTGGTCGTGTCGACGGTCGGACTGGTCGGACTGCTGAGGTGGTCGATCTGGTCGTGTCGACGGTCGGACGGGACGGGAAGCTGAGTTGTGGTCGATCTGGTCGTGTCGACGGTCGGACTGGTCATGTCGACGACGGGAAGCTGAGGTGTGGTCGATCTGTCGTGTCGTCGGACTGACGGTCGGACTGGAAGCAGGTGTGGACGGTTGTGTCGACGACGGGAACGACAGGAAGCTGGTGGTGGTCGATCTGTCGTGTCGACGGTCGGACTGGACATGTCGACGACAGGAAGCTGAGGTGGGTCATCTCGTGTCGACGGTCGGACTGGACGTGTCGACGACGGGAGGTGTGGACGGTCTGGTCGATCGACTGTCGGACTGGACATGACGACGACGGGAAGCTGAGGGTGGTCGACTGGTCGTGACGGTCGGACTGAGTCATGTCGACGACGGGGGCTGAGGTGTGGTCGATCTGGTCGTGTCGACGGTCGGACTGGTCATGTCGACGACGGAAGCTGAGGTGTGGTCGATCCTGGTCGTGTCGACGGTCGGACTGGACATGTCGACGACAGGAAGCTGAGGGGACGATCTGGTCGTGCCGACGGTCGGACTGGTCATGTCGACGACGGAAGCTGAGGTGTGGACGATCTGGTCGTGTCGACGGTCCGACTGGACATATAGACGACGAGGTGTGGACAAATCCTGAGGGTGGACACTCGATCTGGTCGTGTCGACGGTCGGACTGGACATGTCGACGACAGGAAGCTGAGGTGTGGTCGATCTGGTCGTGTCGACGGTCGGACTGGTCATGGACCGGGACATGTGGTCGACTGACGGACAGTCGGATGGTCATCGACGGTGATCGTCGATCTGAGTCGAGGTCGGACCGGACTGGACATGTCGACGACAGGAAGCTGAGGTGTGGTCGATCTGGTCGAAGACGGTCGACTGGTCATATCGACGACGAGGTGTCGATCTGGTCGTGCCGACGGTCGGACTGGACATGTCGACGACAGGAAGCTGAGTTATGGACGATCTGGTCGTATCAGTCGGACTGGACTGGGTCGGACATGACGACGACGGGGAAGCTGAGGGTGGTCGTGTCGATCTGGTCGTGACAGGAAGCTGTCGGACTGGTCGTTTCGACGGTCGGACTCGACGACAGGAAGCTGAGGTGGTCGATCTGGTCGTGTCGACGGTCGGACTGGACGTGTCGGCGACAGGAAGCTGAGAGGTGGTCGATCTGGTCGTTTCGACGGTCGGACTGGACATATCGACGACAGGAACCTGAGTTGTGGTCGATCTGGTCGTGTCGACCTTGGTCGGACTGGACATGTCGACGACGGGAAGCTGGTGGTGGTCGATCTGGTTGTGTCGACGGTGGACTGGTCATGTCGACGACGGGAAGCTGAGGTGTGGTCGATCTGGTCGTGTCGACGGTTGGACTGGACATGTCGACGACAGGAAGCTGAGGTGTGGTCGATCTGGTGGTGTCGTCGGTCGGACTGTACATGACGACGACAGGGAACCTGAGGGTGGTCGATCTGCTCGTGTCGACGGTCGGGACTGACGTGTCGGTGACGGGAAGCTGAGGGTGGACGATCTGGTCGCCGACGGTCGGACTGGACATGACGGCGACGGAAGCTGAGGGGTGGTCGATCTGTTCCTGTCGACGGTCGGACTGGACGATGTCGACGACGGGAAGCTGAGGTGGACGTCTGGTCGTGTCGACGGTCGGGCTGGTCATTTTCGACGACGGAAGCTGACGATCTGGTCGTGTCGACGGTCGGAGGACTTCGGCGACGGAAGCTGAAGTGTGGACGATCTGGTCGTGTCGACGGTCGGACCCTGGTCATGTCGACGACGGGGAGGCTGAGGTGGTCGATCTGGTTGTATCGACGGTCGGACTGGTGTCGGCCGGGACTGGACGTTGATGGCGACGGTCGGACTGGACATGTCACGAGGTGGAGCTGGTCGATCTGGTCCTGTCGACGGTCGGACTGGTCATGTCGACGACGGAAGCTGAGGTGGACTATCTGGTCGTGTCGACGGTCGGACTGGACATGTGAACGACGGGAAGCTGGTGTGGACGACGACGGGGACAGACGACGACAGGTGGGTTGGGACGATCTGGTCGTGTCGACGTCTGACCGACATGACGACGACGGTCGGACTGGACGTTGGCGACGGGGTGGTCGATCTGGTTTGTGTCGACGGTCGGACTGGTCATGTCGACGACAGGGAAGCTGAGGGGATCTGGTCGTGTCGACGGTCGGTTGGACATGTCGACGACAGGGAAGCTTGTATAGTCGATCTGGTGTCGACGGTCGGACTGGACGAGTCGGCGACCAGGGAAGCTGAGTTTAGGTGTCTCGACGGTCGGACTGATGTCGACGACGAGGAAGCTGGTCGATCTGTCGTGACGGTCGGACTGGACATGTCGACGACGACGCAATGAGACTGATCTGGTGGTCGATCGGACTGGTCGACGACGGGAGGCTAGTGGTGAGGTCGATGGTCGGACATGGTCTGGACGTGTCGGCGACAGGAAGCTGAGATGAATGATCTGGGTCGTGTCGACGGTCGGACTGGTCATGTCGACGACGAGCTGAGGTGTGGTCGATCTGTGGTCGTGTCGACTGTCGGACTGGTCATGTCGACGACAGGAAGCTGAGTGTAGACTATCTGGTCGTGTCGATATCGACGACCAGGAACCTGAGTTATGGTCGATCTGGTCGTGTCGACGGTCCGGACTGGACATGTCGACGACGGGAAGCTGGAGTGGTGGATGATCTGGTCGTATCGACGGTCGGACTGGTCATATCGAGCGACAGGAAGCGAGGTGTAGTCGATCTAGTCGTATCGACAGTCGGACTGGACATATGACGGGAAGCTGAGTGTGGACGGTCTGGTCGTCTCGACGGTCGGACTGGACATGACGACGATCGGAAGCTGAGGGAATTTGGTATCGAGTCGTGCCGACGGTCGGACTGGACGTGTCGGTGACGGGAAGCTGAGGGTGCGTCTGTATGGTCATTATAGAAAGGACTGGACGTATCGAAACCTGGGAAGCTGAGGTAATTCTGATCTGGCTAATGTCGACGGTCGGACTGGACGTATCGACGACAGGGAGGCCCTGAGTGTGGACGATCTCTGGTCGTGTCGACAGTTGGACTGGACATGTCGACGACGGAAGCTGAGGTGTGGATCGATCTGGTCGTGTCGACGGTCGGACTGGTCATGTCGACGACGGTCGGACCGACTGAGGTGTGGTCGATCTGGTCGTGTCGACGGTCGGACTGGACATGTCGGGAAGCGACGGGAAGCTAGGTGTGGACGATCTGGTCGTGTCGACGGTCGGACTGGACGCGTCGACGACGGGACTGAGGGGTGGTCATGGTCGTGCGACGGTCGGACTGGACGTATCGGCGACGGGAAGCTGGGTGGTCGATCTGGTCGTGTCGACGGTCGGACTGGACGTGTCGACGGTCGGACGGACGAAGCCTGAGGTGTGGTCGATCTGGTCGTGTCGACGGTCGGACTGGTCATGTCGACGACGGAAGTTGAGAGTGCGTCGATCTGGTCATGTCGACGGTCGGACTGGACATGTCGACGACGGGAAGCGGTTGTAGTCGATCTGGTCGTGTCGATGGTTGGGACGAGTGCAGACATGTCGACGACGGTTGGAGTCGAGGTGCAGACACATGGTCGTGTCGACGGTTGTTACCGAGGTGCAGACGTTCCTGGTCATGTTGACGGTTGATGTCGAGATGCAGACGTTCCCGGTCGTATTGACGTTTGAGTCGAGGTGCAGATGTTCCGGTCGTGTCAACGGTTGAAGTCGAGATGCAAACATTCCGGTCGTGTCGACGGTTTGACAATGTGCAGACATTCTGGTCGTGTCGACGGTTGGAGTCGAGATGACGTTCCGGTCGTGTCGACAGTTGGACGTTACAGTGCAGGCATTGCTTTTTTCGGTATCTCAGTGTGTCGAAACCTCGTTAGTAATTACAGCCTATATTATACGGAAAGGTTTTTGGTCGCAATATTATCTCTGTTGGTCGTCGCAGGTGGTCGCTGCTGATTGTTTTGGTCCTAGTTTCAACTGGAGTTGTTGGTGGAAGAAAGAGGAGCTATGTTTCGATGTTGTTGGGTATATCGAAAATCCTGTGCGTCTTGCGTATCGAAGTCAGATAGGTTAAATTAGATAACTCCATGAAATTCCTAAAAAAAAATTAGTATGGCATGATGAAAAAGACATGAAACTTCTCGAAAACAAAATTTTATCAAGTTTAAATGTTCATGTTATTATTAAGAGGGAAGACGAAATTTTTTTTTTTTTGATTATTATTAAAATTTTTCTTTCTTTTAGAACATTCTAAATTTTGATTAAAAAAATAACATATACAATTTTTAGCACTTTTTTTTGTATTTGCATTTTGGAAAATCTTGCAAAAATAAAAATAATAATTGTCGGATTCAGAAACTATTCACTGATGATCGAAATTATTAAAAATAAGTTATTTTTTTATTAAAGTCATGCAGAAATATTTTTTATATTTATTATTCCCCCATAACTGATTTTATGAAAACATAGAAATTCAGTCGCATCAGGTTTAGTGATTTACACTAGTTAAAAAGCACAAGGCTTTGAGGAATGCAAATCATGTTTTTTTTTTTGTATCCGCACTAGCAGAAAATCATTTATTCAAGGGATGTAACAGGAGTTAAAATAAGATGGAAAAGTCAAGAGGATCTCCTTTAAACTTTCACCTACATGCTGAATTAGATTGTCTTTTCTGAATTCGTATTACTGTATATACATACAAGCACACCGACACTCACTTATATATATATATATATATATATATATATATATATATATATATATATATATATATATATACATATATATGTGTGTGTGTGTGTGTGTGTGTGTGTGTGTGTGTGTGTGTGTATATATATATATAGATATGAGTGATAGATACATAGATAGATAGAACAAAAAGCTAACAGAATTGACAGAAAATTATGTGAGGTTAGATATATATATATATATATGTGTGTCTGTCTGTCTGTGTGTATGTCATCTCTTTTTCCTTTAGAAATTAGAGAACTTTTAATATGGAAGAAAGGCAGAGAGACGGATAAAGATAGACGTTTATTTTTTTCTATCGATATATATATATATATATATATATATATATATATATATATATATATATATATATATATGTATATATATATATATATATGTAATTTCAAAAGAAAGCACATTCCTATTAATTTGTTTAAAACTGCCTTTGTTTGTATCTGTTATTATTTGTTTGAAAATCTTATTTATTAGCTTCTTTTGATCATAAACATTCAAATGCAAACATTAATA